GAGACCATCGAGCTTGGCACGGTCCTCACGCGACTGGAGGTTCTCCTGCTTCAGGTCGGTGGGGGGGTTCTTCTGCTTGAGCCAGGGCTCGATCTTGCTGTACTGCTCGTAGAAGTGGGTCATGTCCTGGGAGGGGAGGGAGCGGGAGCGGGAGGGGGAGCCGGAGCGGTGGGGGGGGGGGAGAGGAAGGGCAAGTACATATGTGAGTGGGAGGGGGAGGAGAGCAGGCGTGCCCAGAGGGCGTGTGCTGGAAGAAAGAGCAGGCACACAGAAGCAGGAGAGGGAAGGGGGCAGGGAGGAAGTGACATCTACGCACCGGGACCAGATCCTTGATCACATACATGTGGGGGAGGGGGTAGATGGTGACCGGCTTGCTGGTGTCGATCTTGCACAGGCAGGCCAGGGTGTTGGTGCCGTTGATGTTCATGGCACAGGAGCCGCAAATGCCCTCGCGGCAGGAGCGACGGAAGGACAGGGTGGAGTCCATCTCGTCCTTGACCTGGATCAGGGCATCGAGGACCATCGGGCCGCAGGTGTCCATGTCGACCTTGTACTCCTGGAGGCGGGGCTTATCACCGGCGACCTCGGGGTTCTGGACACAGGGTCGAGGGGAGGAGGAGGCAGAGGGAATGGGTGAGATTGCGATGCAGGGGGTATGGGGGAGGGGGAGAGGAGCCAATGCAATCGAGCGAGAGGCACAAAGGCACGTGTGGGGGGGGGGAGGAAAGCAAAAGAGGGAGACAGAGGGAGGTGGGGCGATGGAGGATGCACGCGCGAAGACAAACGCACCCAGCGGTAGATGTTGAAGGAGTGGGTGTTCTTCTTCGGGGCCTCCGGGGTGGCGGCGGCCTGAGAAGCGGCGGCCGAGGTGTGGAAGGCGCGGGCAGCGACGGCACCGAAGCCGGGACGGAAGGTGCCAAAGGCAGAGCGGGCGAGGGTGGGGAGCATCTCGTAGATTCAGCCTACGGAAGACACACGAAGGGAGAGGACACGAAGGAGGGGGTAAGTGGGTGGCGATCAGGCTGACGCTGAGAGAGGTGGGGGTGGGGGGAGGGCGGGATCCGTCGGGGAGCAACAAGGATCAACGCGGGGTGCGACCACGAAGATCCGGAGAAGGCAAGGGAGGCGCTCAAGAGCGTGGGCAAGAGAGAGGCAACCAATGTCGCCGCTAAAGGCCAGACACGTTTTGGCCCCCTCTGTCCCCCTCCCTCCTCCCTGTGGGAGGGCACGTGCAGAAAGCCGGGCCAGGTGCGCCGAGGGAGAGAGGGAGAGAAAGGGAATATGCGAGGAGGAAGGGGGGAGGGGGGGAGAGAGAGAGAGAGAGAGAGAGAGAGAGAGAGAGAGAGGTCGGAGGAGGGGAGAGGGGCGAACCAGAGGTGCAAATGGGAAGGGGCATCAAACACGTCAGGGCAGAAGATGGGTGGGGAATCTCCCCCCTCGGGGGCAGAGGGGGTGACAGAGCACCACTTAACCTCCGGTGCCGCGAACACAGGGCGGGCGGGGGGGGGGGGCAAGCACAAGTGCGCTGTCCTGGAAGGGGGCCACCGTCTGGGGAAGGAGCACGGCCTGGTCCAGTGTGCACGGGCTCGCCCTCTGTCGCTCCCCATCCCCCGAAGGGGATGGGCGGGGGGCGTCCTGCACGAGCGCCTAGCGCGTCCCCAATCGAAGCACGTTGTGTGTGGGGTGGCCCAGCCATCGGCGGGCGGGGGGAGGGAGAGAGAGCGCGCGCGCGCGGCCCGCTAGTCAAGCAGGTGGTCAATGTCAGTGTGCATGTTGGCCCCCGGCCCGGAAGACCAGGCTCGGATCTCGGAAAAATGGCCCAGCCCCAGGCAGGAGAGGGGGCAGCAGGGACCCGTCGGCCGTTGCGGGCGGACGCCCCCCCCCCCTCCCTCCCCCCACTCCAGGACCAGCACGGGCACACGTCTGGAACATGTGTACGGCGGGTGTGTACATGCATACATGTATGGGGGGTACAAAGTCTTCACGGGCCATGTGAGGCCTTCCGACCATCCACCCGCCTCTTGCCCTTGCCCGCTGCCCGCCGCACGCGCGCCAGCGTCCATCCCCGACGTAGCGATCGGGATGGCCCCCCTCTCGCGGACCGTCAGCGCCAGGGACCCCTCTATCTTGCCTAACTGGAGGACCGGGAGATCGAGACGACGGCTCTCTCCCGCTCTGGCAGGCTGATTCCTCCCCCACTTAGGGCCACCCCTCCGGCGTGAGGGGGGGGGTGGGGGGCCAGGAGAGTGAGCGCCCCGGCTCCGGGGAGGTACCACGCCCCGCGGAGCCGGGGCCCGGCGGGCACGCTGGCCCCGGAGCGGAGATCAGCGCGCGGGCGCACGTCCAAATACAAAGCCCAGCGCGATGAGCGAGGCCCCAACAGGGAGGGGACGCCGAAACCGGAACGCAAGAAAGGACAGGCCAGTGGCGGCGGGCTGGCGGTTCCCCCCCCCCCTCTCCCTGGCGCTTGTCCTTCCACCGGCCAGGTCCGCCGCCGAAAAACACGCCCCCGCGACCTGCCGGCCTGAAGACAATGTTGGGGTATTTCCTCAATGGATGATGCGAGGGTCGTGGCGCGCGCGTTTTAGGGTAGAAAAGGCCGAGCTTCCTTGCTCCCCGGAGATACGCTGCGGTCGGGATGGATGATCCCGGATGCCTCGGAGTGTCTCCCACATACACACACACACACACACACACACACACACGTCTGTGGGCGTGTCGACTCGGAATATTCCAATCATTATCAAAGCCTCAATTTCTCGGAGCTCTGATCAACCTTGGCCGGCCCCCACGAAGGTTCACCAGATCCGCTGGGCTTCTGTGCCCATGGATTCTGATCACAAAGATCACAACAACACTCCATTCTTAAACAGAGAATCATCACGCGACCCCGGGCGGATCCCCTCCACCGCGCACGCATTTCCCCTGGTCCTATTTCGGGGCCTTTTTTTTTTATCCTCCGTTGCCCCGCGTACATGCAGCGCACCTTGTTTGTCCGCTCC